GCTCAAATTTTTTTATACATTAGTGTTTCAATGCTGAGCATCTTTTCAGAAACTTTGTCTGTTGTTTTGTGTTTGGCCATGACAAACAATGTTAACAAAACATCCCACACATAAGTGATTAGATGATATACATATTTTGGTTTATAATGAACATCAGCGCATACTTAATGCACACATCGTCAGTTACATTCGGAACTCTGCGAGAATTAATTTGTGTTACTTTAATGGTCAAATTTCACTTTCTATTTTACAATTTATAGCTTAAAACATTATAAAAAATTAAATCAGCAAATTGACAACAGCTAAAAAGATAAAATTGATTTTTTTATGGAACGTTTATCTTGAAGGAAATGACAGATGAGCAAACTGATGGGAGCTAGGCTTTTTTTATCCTTTTCAATGTAGCTATAAAATGCAAAACTTTTTACATGTTAAGGTTCATTTGTAACTAAATCTTCGTGCCACAAAGGTTGTAATATGCACACCACACGACGCACATCCACATTAGGCTTGCACGCGTAAGCACCGATTGATACGTGCATGGTAGCCTTTGAGTTTTGGACAGACAGTATTCGAACCATGCCATCGCATAAATAACAGCGCATGACATGGCACTTCTACCAACTGAGCTAACTCGGTGAAGTTTAGGATAGAGCCAACATATTTCTTCAATAAATTTGATGACATGATATTAAATGACAACTTAAATGATAAACCACATTGTTCCATTTTTTATAATTTTAAATTCAAAACATTATAATTATAACTAATTGAAATATGACAGCAGATATGATTTGTAATACTGAAAATAAAATATAATTTTATAATTTTTAAACATAACACTTGAAATGATGAAACCTTTGGACGCTTGAATGTATAAGCGGTTAAGACAATGAACCCTCACAGATATGTTTTACACAAACGTCTGAACAAATACAGACACATTGACACATTGATGCTAGCGATAGATATTCAATTTGAAGTTCTTAAAAAACAACGCTGGCATATTTCTGTGGAATCGCAATGTTCAAATGAGAAGCAGCATGCCATTAATCAAAAAAGAAAACAATTTGAATCCAATTATGTCTGAAATATTACTTTGAAATATTGCTGCTGTTGATTAGTTTGACGTTGTTTTGGCGGATGTGTTTTTGTTGTTAAACAATTTTATTATCATAGTTTGTTATTTTGTTAAGCAGTTTAAACAAAAATTTTGTTTTATAACTAAATTCTACATCTTGCTTAATTTTTGGCCTCCAGAATTATAAAATAATATTAATTAGAAAGTCTCGATTGATTCAGTTACATTTATAACCGAAACACACGCACACACACACCAACAACACACACACACACACACACACACACTAACAAAACACGCACCCTAAAAATACACTCACACTAACAGCACAAACACACACACACACACACACACACACACACACACACACACACACACACACACACATATATATATATATATATATATATACATGTATCCATTCGTTTTCTAGTTATTAATCACTCGATGTATAAACCACACAGGTGTGACTTTGTGGGTTGTTGCAAAAATAACGTGAGTGAGGTTTGCTGTGGTTTGTGAAGCAGAAAGATAAAAGTGATCTTTGTGAGTTTTGTTTGATAAATACATCAGTATGATGTAAGTGAGGATGTGCGTGTGCTACCACATGCGAGAATGGTGGATCACATTGAAACTGTTTCTTCAATATAACACTGATCGTAATTTAAAACTTAATTTAATTTAAAACTGCTCGTAGCCTGGTAGGCTTTCACTTTCCAAGTTATAAAAATCGTAAGCACGTTATGTTGATGCAGAGGCAGGTGAACAAAAATAAAAAAGGTTTATTTCAACGTATTTTCATATTTGTGTCTGTTTGTTCCTCACATGAACAAAACGTATCCAAATGTGTTTGTTTGTAACGGAATAAAACTTTGCATGAACATCGTTGAGTGTCTTCTTGTTTTTTAAATAAATTTAATAACGCGTTCATAATTATATTTTGTCCCTGTCTGTATAAATATAAAGATGTATGTTCAACAAAAAAATGCTGTCACTCGGGCGTATTTTCTTATATTAAAATCATATTTTTTCTTAGGAGGATGAAAACTTGCAAACGAGTTGTTGCGAAATCAAAAAATAAGTATATCTTATTAGGTTTTTTGTGTTATTCATTCTCAAAAAGAACTGTCTTTGGCTTCTCAAAAGAGTCAAATGATTTTTATATCCAACCTTTTCTTAACATAAAAAATAAAAGATAGCTCTCACGCACACAATTGAACAAATATAAAAAATACTTTTTTTATATTTTTTATAACGTTTAATAACGTTCAGTTGCAATTTTTCATCATCGTCGTCAACAATAAACGTAATGATCAACTAACTCAACATTAAATAACAAAATCCACAAAGCAGAATCAACGAAACAAAAAAAACAAGAATGAAAAAATTTGCTGTAGGAAATGCAAAAGCAACAACATCGATGTCTCCCCGTGCAGCACTAATTCAAATAATCCCACATAATCGTGGTAGTCACACTCCACCACCTATTCAAAACATCATACACTCCTGTGTGTTGTAATTCCAGGTGTTCAAAGTGTGTCGTGTGGTCTTACTCTTGTGTTGTGCTCAGTTGTGTTGTTATGAAATTCACTGTGATTTGTGGTTTTTTGCTTTGTTTAGCTAGGTGTCGTCGTGCTATGGTTTGTTGTTTTTTATCTGTTTTTTTGTGTCGTTATGCTGAAATTTTCTGCGGGGTGTTGCTATGTGCTATGCTGTTTCGAAACATGCAGAATTTGCATTGCAATGTGAGATGTTGGGCTGCGTTTTGTTCTGTTTTGTTGCGTTTTGTTTTGTTGTACTGTTTTGTGTTTTGAAGTGTGGTGACGTGTTGTGCTGTATTGAACTTTTGTTGTGATGTATAATGTGCTGTGTCGTACTGAAATATGATGTGCCGTCAGAATTGTGTTGCAATGACCAAATTGTTGTCTTTGTGGTGCAGAAATGTGTTGTGTTGAATAGTATTGTGATGTGTTGTTGTCATGAGCTAAAATGTATTTATTATGCTGTGTTAAGCAATTTTGAGCAGTGTTGTGCTGACTGATATGTACTGTTACGTTGTGCTAAAAATTTGCTGGGCCATGTTTTGATATCATGTGATGTGCTGAAATGTGTTGTGTTGTTCCATGCTGTCCGATGTGTTGTTTTTTTATTCGGTGTTGCTATTTTTCGATGATCTGTCAGACGCGCTGTTCGTTGAATGCATTTATTAGTTTTGTTATAATTTATGTCAGTATTGTTGTTTCAGACAGAGTTGTTCTGTTAGTTGTATTGTTGAATTTATGTTTATTGTAGTACTCTTTCAAGTATTTCAAATGAGGACGTTTCAAAGCGTTTGCAGTGTTTGCTGTCGTATTATTTCATTGAGTTCCTCTGCTTGATGCGTCCAGAATTGAGCGGGACAGTCGGAAATTTTCCTCCGTGTTCCTCCTCAAAACGTTCGGGACTTGTGTTTGTCTTGCGCGCAACCAATGTTAAAATAGTGAAATATCAATCTATTAATAATTTAAAATTTTTAATCACACAAAAAATTACATGAACACACACAAAGATGTTTCTAACAAAAATACATAAAATAAACTATTTTTTTAATTTTACTGCAATATTGTTGATCATGATTATAACAAAGACATAACGGAATTTATGTCGACTACTACTGATTTAATTTCATTTCATTTCGATATCGATGATGATTATGATTTTAACAAAACTTCAAAGAAAACTGCCGACTAATTTGACTTCATTGCTATATTGATGATGATGATAATGATTGTATAAATTGCGGCAAAAAATTATATTTATGCAAATGCAAAAAAATGCTGAACATTGCACATCTCTTGGAATACTCAAACAAAAAGGCTCTTAGGTTTACAAATTGTTAACTTTGTCAATATTTCCAGTTTTACTTAGAATTAAGTCATTAATTAAATTAAAAAGATAAATATCAATAATGCCATTAGCAGCTAAAAAGTTGTTGAAAATTTTCGCAACCATTACAGCCAGTAGAAAAGTAATTTTCTACTGTAAAAGCAGACATACAGTAAATGACCGTTGAGCTAGACTTTCGTTTGTAACTTTAGAAATGTTGACAGGTCAAAAATACAAATACAACACGGAGACTGATAAGTTGTTAAGCTATCAGCCAAAATGAATGTATGGCGTTGTCATGCTCACCAGAAATTTCATTAAAATTTGTTATTAATTTGACAAATCGCGTCACTTTTGGAAGCCATCCGGTGAGCCTCTCAAAATATTTTGTTGAGCTACACACTGCTTTCAATGAAATTAGAAAGTGACCGAAAGAGGCAATGCTTAAAAAAAGCTGGCTTCATTGAACATAACTGCAGTCGAAAAGAGCAGATAATAAATATATATTCGACCAAGATAGCGTGAAAATGAAATATGTGTCAATGCGTCAATATGTCTGTATTTCATTCATAGCTAACAAATATTGTTTATTTACTCTAAGTTGTTTATAGCGTAAAATAAATATTTTGTATGTCCATTTGTAATAACGGAGTATTTCAATATTTTTATTGACTGAAATTTTTGAATCGTTAAGTTTATAATAAAATTGGATAAAAGACCATGTAATGCTTCTGAAAATTCAAATATTGGTATATAGTGTTGGTAAACTTAATTTTGTATATAGTGTTGGTAAATCTTAATTTTGTTACGGCATTATTTTTTTTATTATTCATAACTTATTCAATTTATTGTGATTTATTTTGCTTTTTTGTTGTTTATATTCTTAATTTTTGTCCGCTTTGACAAATCGTTCAATTTTTAAATTTAAACTGTTATGTTAACTAATAATATGTGGTGCTGATGTCTTCTAATGATATGTGGGTTGTTGTCAAAAGCGTCCGGAGTTAACGTGCATATATAAAAAAGATAAGCATTTAGTCTTTCCTTGAAAAACTCAGTGTTTCGATGATATCAGATATAGTATGGATCCTGCTATGTCCATCTTTTTAAGCAAAAATTTTGACAGCTGTTGATGTGTTCTGACAAACAGTGTTTTTTGCTTATGAGGCTGAAAAAAGGAAGTAGAATGCGAAGGTTGTAGACTAGACTATCCAAAATAACAGGCATGTGTAGATGGGTGTCATCATCGTAATGACGGGAAAATATACCGTATTTGCTAAAAATTTTGTCAACATGTGAGAATGGAGCAAAAAAAAGTGTGATTCACAAGCTTTATAAATTGATGTCTGCTATCCAGGTATGATTTTATCAGTGACTAAGGAAAACCATCAACACCAAATTCCTGCACCGAGATGGACAAGAACTGCTTTTATATTGACGTGGGATGGGATCAAAAAAAATGAAACTAACTTTATCATCTTGCTATGATTGGTTTCTGCAAAGTAGAATAAAATGTCATCTTTATAATGGCGGGCAAGAAAAATAACAAGGTCAAAGATAGAAACTGCATAAAATATTAAAAGATGGATAGATGGATATATTAATAATTATTTTCTGAAAGAAGGAGCTGAAGGAACTGACAAACCTTTTTGATCCATATTGTTACAGTGTTGGAAAGGATGGCTGGAAAAATATTGTTAGCCAGACGCCAAAGAAACCGCAGGTTTGAATCCGCTTGTACAAATTTGAAGCTTATGTAGTCTGTTTCCAACTTGAGAATTACAACTTTGGCTAGAATTTTTGCAATCCTGGAAGCGTGTTTGATTACTAGTGAAGGATCAAGACGTAATTTTTTTTTGATGTGTGGTGTTATAAGTTCCTAATGATGTGTGGTTTTGTTGTCTTTTGATGATATGTGGTGTTGTCTGATGATATTAGGTGTTAGGCAATTATGTTTTATGTGTTGTTGAAATATGTCTTTTGAGTTTTATAGTGATTTTTTTGTTGTTTTGCTGTTGTTTTATTGTTTTTTTTACTGATAATATTGTCAATAATAATATTTATGTTGCTGTTTATGCAAGTATAGTGATAGCGGTGATGATCATGTATAAAAGAATAATAATGATGGTGAATATTTACAAGGAATTACAATATTTACATAACCAATTCACTTAGCAAAAAAATACTCTACTTAAATGAATTTTTGATTAAAACTTTTTTTTCATTTCACAGAAAACTAATAAGGAATTTAATATTTCCCCGCGTTACGTCATTACATCGGCTTATAAGTCATTCCATCTCAGCAGATTACTATCAAAATATCATGAAGTTGTAGTCAACATCATTTTATTATCACACATTTTTTTAATTAGTTTAAAAAAATTGGTTGCTAACGAAATTTGAAAAAAAAATATTTTCATCTTTTCAAGTTTATCAATAAGTTAAAATTTATCTGCAAGTTTGTAAGTTTTTTGCTTAAAACATTTTGAAAAATCGCGTGAAAAATCTCTCTCTTTCTCTCTCTCTCTCTTTCTCTCTTCACACCCACACACATACACACACGCACACTAAACACGACACGACAAGTGTACATGACACGTGTGGATAAGATCAAAGGTGTAGTCCTGGTGATGATATGTTTTGCCGTGTCGACATGAAGATAAGCTTGCGGTCAATTACTTGTGGTTTAGCTTCTTCGTTGACTTTGAATAATCATTGTTCTACTTGCGTTGTACGATTCATCAGAGTATCATAAATTTGTGACTCGGACATTATCAGCCTCTTAACTTTTTACATCTGTTCTTTTATTGTGAGATTGTGTGAACATTGTTCGCAGTTTTGGAATAAATTTTCAAAACATTGAATTAAATAAAATTATTTGAATGATAGTGAACAAAACCACTTTTTCAAAAATTAAATTTAGTGAATTATTTATGATTAACAATATTGGCAACAATGTTGTTGAAAAATATGCGCATTCCATTCCATTATTTTGTCATTTTAAATATTCTTATTTGAGTAATCGAGATAATTTCTCATTTTCATAACCGACAAAAATTTTAACAATCTGATCTACTATTACTACTTTGTCGCGTGGCAGGGAGAATTTGTTGCAACAGTTTGTTGGGATGATGAGTAGGTTGTTTGATCTTCGTCCCAGTCGGCTCCACCACAAAGCTTATCCATAGCTCAATATACACGACCGGACGTCGACATTCTAACACAGCGTCTCAACAACTATCTACCAACTCTCAATGATTTTTTCAACCGAAAGAACCTGGAAATTTCAACCTCAACACCAACAGTTACAGTTTTCACCTTACACACAACACAATACCAGTATCACCCACAAGTAAGAATTAGCAATCAGCTGCTATCTCTTGAACATCATCCAATATTACTAGGCCTCACTTTTGATACAATGCTGATTTTTTCCACCAAACACTGCGGCAACCAAGGCATCCAAACGTATCAATATTGCTCAAAGAATTGCCTCCACCCACTCCACCAATAGATGAAACAAAATCAACACTCTCCAGAGCAACTAGACGGACTCTGGTCCAGCTTCGCTCTAGCCACAGCACCCATCTCAATAACTACAAATCACAAATTGATGATGGCATCAACAACATTTGTCCTTTCTGCCAAGCTCATCAGGACAATGCACCTCATTTATTCTCCTCTCCCAGTAACCATACATCACTCAGTGTTGTGGATCTCTGGAATAACCCGGCTGCTATTGCAAACTGGTTCAGGTCTCGACTGGATCGATGAGCCAGTGTTGAAACAGGGCAACAACAACAACTACTACTACCACTACTACTATTACTACTACTACTAATAATAATAATAATAATATCGCATCAATAATAACACGTAATAACTTTTATTATATATAAAAATTTTATCATCAAGACAGCCGTCACACATATTCCATCACAACAGCTCTTTCCACCTTTATAACAATTTATCGGCACTATCAACACTCAATCTGGCCATTCTTTCCACGCCGGTGCTCATCACTACCGTATTCGTTAATTAGAATTATTCTGTACCTCCGCATTTGTTCAATGACAGCAGCTAACAAATGGCATGCATTGCTAACAGTGCAATAAGGAGAGTATCGTCAGCATGGAAAAGTAGGAAATGCAAAAATGAGTATATAGTTTCCTCGGATTACTAACAAAACATCAAAAGTTCTGCAATGTTATATTTACAACGCGTAGATTCATTAGTATGCTGACATTCAAATTAAAATAAATTTTAAATCTTTTTTTGGCAAGCTAAAAATGATTTGTTCCACGAACAATTGATATTTTTTATTTCCCGTCAAGAAACATGACGTGATACAGTACGAAAAAGCACAAAATTTTAAAAACGAAACTAAACACCGCAAAACAGAAACATGCAAATTTGTTATGACCGAGTCGGTGTCAATGTGCGTGTTTGCAATTAAATACAAGTGATGTTGTTTTGTAGCAGTAGCAGTAGCTATAGACTCTGTCATAAAAATGGACACACACACACACACACATGCGCGCGCGCGAGCGAACACACATACATGGAGGCACCATGCAAAAAGTCTTATAATAATTCACGCAGGAAATTATTGATAAGAAGAAGTGTTGAATGCTGATGACGCATCTACGTCCATCAATCAAATTCACTTTTAATCTTTTTAACATGCACTGACGCAAAACTACAATCGCACAAACACAACCACAAAAGCAACACACAATATGTCATTGGTACATTTCACTGTAATGTATTAGCATGTAAAATTTAATAACACATAAATTTAATAATAATTGAGGTTCGAAAAGAGTTAAAAGTTTTATAACGTTGATTTTGTCGTTATAAAATCATAAAAATGTTTGTCGTTAATATATATATATATATATATATATATATATATATATATATATATATAGAAAATATGAGTTTCAAATAATGGTCGGATGATTTATGTACATTAATGTGCAGTGCGTAAGTGTACTCGTGTAACTGTTAGTATGTTTGTGTAGAAAGAAATGCTTATATATATATACTATGTGGTTTGAAATGTTGATTTTGCTTGATTATATTGAATGTAAAGACTGTTGAAACTTTTTATTGGATGTTTAATGATTCGATCTGGGATGAAACATTGGCATTGCTATTACATTATTTAAATAATAAATAATTAAATAAGGTGGCAACTAACAATTCAATACAGTTTGTAAACATGTGAAAGAAATATTAACATTTGTAACGACCATTTGTAGGCAAATGAAAAATATTTCTTGGTTATAAATTTCTAAAAAATCATTTGGTTAGTTGTTGTCTCACACATAAAAATGTAATATTGGCGCACACGCGGCTCTCTCACGCACATGCTCTGTACACACACACACACACACACACGCACACACACACATGTATATATATACATACATACGTATAAATATATATATATATATATATAATATATATACGCTAACTTAATGTGCACACATGTCAAAGAATATATCGTTATTAAGGTACTCAGTGATTTATTGTGATGTACGTGGATGTGTGTTGCTGATGTGCGTGTACATGCGTGAAATGTGTGCAGTGATGACGTTTGCTATGCATCTGTGTGCATACATAAAGACCACGCACGATAAATGCACACACACACACACTTGCGCTCTGCTGGAGTTGTGCCTGCACTGCCAACATCAAAGTTATCTCAACTCGTCAGATATTGTTTGATTTCGAGTTGCTACGCTCATAACATCGTGGGTTGAGCGAAGATTGGTGGAATGAATGAACGAACGAACAAATGAACGAACGTACGAAGCGAAAAGATAAATGAATGAATGAGTGAGTGAGTGAGTGAGTGAGTGAGTGAATGAGTGAATGAGTGAATGAATGAGTGAGTTAATGAATGAACGAATGAATTAATAAATGAATTAAGTAATTAATTGATTAATTGGTTGAAATAATTAATTGTTTATTTAAGGTTTAAATGAAGAAACCAACTAACATGAGCTAACATTTTTAATCTAACATGTAACGAATGATGTCACCATTACTGTCTTTTTTATTACAATATTGTGCTTTATTATTACAACACATCATCATTATCATCAAACTTTAATCAACAAAAAAACATCGCAAAACATAAGAGAGCAGTACACTTGAACGGTAAAACTCTGCAGTGCAATTGCAACACAACACACACAACACCACACACAACACCATACAGCCCAACATAACACACAACACCAAACAACATCACACACACCATGCATCAACTCCGAACAACACATACAACAAATCAGTTTAGACCTGATCTCACGTAGCAGTCCGGTCTCCAGTTTATGTGGCTCCTACACGACAAACCTTTGCACGCCTTCGTTAGCCTGGTTGGGGGCGTCTGGCATGATCCCCCCTCCTCCTCCGGGCTTTCCTTACCACAACTTCAACCCCCACTCACTGATAACTTCATCAACATTCAAACAGGAAATGTCTCCTAGATCTGAAAATGCTGGTGACGATTTGAGGTATTTTTTGTTGTTGTTGGATATTTATTAAAAGTCCTACAATGAATTGTAATTTTTCAAATATGGCGTGCAACGTTACAATAGAAATATTTAAAAAGCAAATTATATATTTATAATGATAGTGGGCGGCGTGATGGCTCAATGGTTAAAAGCGCCTTGTCTTGCTATTGCAATTACTGGGTTCGAATACAAAGAGATCCCCGCCTATCATATGCAATGTGTATGATGCGTGGTTTGCACGCGTATTTATATAAAATGTGTGTGTTTGTTGTTGAAACCTCTGAAGCAAACGCAAAAGAGAGAAAGAGAAACCTTTAATATATATATATATATATATATATATATATTATTTTAAATAATATTTCATACATTATTTTATGTTATATTATATTTAGGGCGGTGTGATGGTGTAACGATTAAGGCACGTGATTCCGCTTAAAAAGTGTCAATGAACAAATAATCATAGCAACTTCGATAAAGATTGATGATGTTACATTCAAACAGGAATCCTAGGTTAAAGCAGCAGCATTCAAACCACCAACATCATCATCAACACCACCAACAACAATCGGTTTCAAGTTCTACTGGCCATTCCTCACATCTTCACCAGAGGTTTCTGGTGCACGGAGGTTCAGTGGGACATGCAGTCATCAGTCAACACCAAGAAAAGAAACGTCCTTACGTTAAAAAGCCGTTGAATGCCTACATGCTCTTCATGAAAGAGATGAGGCAATCCGTTATTGAAGAATGCACGTTGAAAGAGTCAGCTGCCATCAACCAAATATTAGGCAGGAAGGTTAGCTTCTGTGTCGGAATATGTACTGGATGTGTGTGCTGGATATGTACTGGATGTGTGTGCTAGATGTGTGCTTATTTATAATTTAAAATTATAAAATTTATATACAAAATATTACGGTACCGTTTTGGGGAAAATTTTTGTCGGCACTTGTGCACCTATTTTAATTTTAAGCTAGGTTTAAAATGTTGGAAAACTCTTTAGTTATTAAGCTATATAATAAGAGCAGTTTTTATAAAGAGATGTAAAATACATTTGCGTTAGATTTGTAAAATGGTTTCGTTTGAAAATTTTGAAACAATGAAACAAGCTTTTAGATTGACACAAAGCAATAATTTCGTGTGAAGATCATTATTGTTATTATCCATTCATCCATTAAACTGCATCATGACTTCTAGACAGACTCTTCTCGCAATCACCATTTATTAATATATTATATTCAACGTTATCAGCAACTTCATCGTCATCATTATCGTTATTTGCTTAATCCTCATCACCATCATCAACATCACGGCCATCAACTTGGTCATCGTTTATTCTAATGACGTCAGATGTTGGAGCCCTCATTATATGCTCATTATTATAGAACAACACGACTCTCCATTAACTCTTCATAGTCTATTTTGCATACAAGCCCATCTACCTACCTGCCTGCCAGTTTTTTCCTCCTCCAACAACGCATCATAACATTTTATAGAATTTAACAAACATCAACACGAGTAACTACTTAAATGTTATCAATCAAAATCATGATCATAGTAATTATCTCAAGCGTCCTGCGTGATGCGATCATATTTTGAATAGCATTTGATGATTCTTTAACACATCCAATTGTTGAGTAAATTGTTTAATTGCTTACATATGTAAAAATTTGGCGATTCATCCGTTCATATCCTTCAATCTCCCTGTCTGTTATGTTAGATCACCCAACCATTCTTTCATGAAACTCATAATATTTATCTTCTGTTTGAAGTTTTTTCTTACCGACGTCTTTTTCATCATCATCACAAATATAACCACCACCACGTCTTTTTCATCATCATCACTTCCATCATAATCATCATAATCATTACGACGATTATCATCGCTGCTATCATTAACACCGCCATCATCATCATCATCATTAGTACCACCATCATCATCATCATTATTACCATCATCATCGTCGTCATTTTTGTCATCATCATTGTTATCATAATCGTTATCATCATCACTTTCATCATCTTCATCATTTCTTTCATCGTCATCATCATCTCTTTCATTGTCATCATCATCACCTTCACGTCATTTCTAATGGATTTGTAGCGTCATTTCTTCAAATGAACACCGCCAGCGCTTTGCAATTACCATAATCATCATCCGGACATCTTAATCATAATCACCATCATCAACATTCTCATTATCGTCTTCGTCGTCATCATCATCGTTATAATCATTCATCATCATCACCATAATAATCTTAGTAGTAATCATCAATGAATTGTTCATATTTATAATCATCATAGTTCATCATCATCATCACAATCAACATTATCACCTTAATCGTAGTTAATTTACGTTGCGTTGATTGGATATTGTTTTTTTAGCTTTTTCAAACTGAATCAAATTGTTAGTTACATTTTTCAGATGTAAAAATTAATTAATTAGTCAACTTTTTTAAATTTTGCTAGGAGTTTATAGTGAATTTTATATTTGTAGTTCGTTTTAAACTTTGTCTCAGCCTCAATTGTATTTCTTTGTTACCAAAGAGTAAAGACTATATTTTCATTAGCTGCTATGCTTCAGAATATGTTAATTCCAATTAAATGTTAATTTTGCAAACAGATGGGCCTTGAAATCCGTTCTAAACATCATAAGTGATGGAAAAGTAGCCAGAGAAAGAGGTAGAGAACTTTAGGGAAAAGAACAAAAAAAAAACAAATGCAGATTTAGCAAAAAGTGTTTAACACGAGTTAAGAAGTGAGAACAAATTGAATGAAATTAAACAATGAAACGTGTAACGCCACGCCCTTCACAAAAAACGCCATAGAAAACCAATGGACATGCAACCTCAAAAAAGAAGAAAAGATTATATAATTTGAAAAGACACCAACGTTTTCTGGAGTCACGACCGACTCCTCAACTTTGGCCCACACGCCCAAAAATTATAGCAAAAATGAAAAAACAAAATAGTATTCTAAGGGCTTTTAGTGGAACGGACTGGTAATGGAAGAGAAAAATACTAAAAACACTTTTCATCGCGTTCCACAGGAGTGTTGGAAAATGCGGAGCACCAGCATAGAGATCATGGGTTGCCAAAACGCATATGGAAAAACTTGAAAGTCAAAAACTGAAGGCGGCACAAATCATAACCAGATTAGTTAAAAGTGCACCAAAAGATTCAGTTTTAGAAGAAACCTCATTGGAGCCGCTAGAATACAGACTGGACCAAATGCGAGCAAAAAAAGACATTGACTTGGTACAGGTTGGACGTGAACGATCTCAGGAAAAAATGGCAGGGTAGGGTGTTTCAGTGAAAATCTAAAGAACAAGCAAAAAAGGTACTTCAACCAAAAGAGGTGGTGCGACTGTGGTTGTGTATAATAAAGATGGTCTGATACACAAAAAAAGCATGTCTAGGTAATTGGTGTAGCAGTATGGATACCGAAATAAGGACAATGGAAGCGGCATTAGAGTGGCTTGATAGATATAACGAGTAAACGGAAGAAATCATACTAACAGACAGTATGGCCATGGTTGACTTGATGGAAAATGTGAAGAATGACGATGGGGAAAATATGAATATAAAAGACAAAATAGCTGGTTATGAGAAAGTGAGCAAGAAGATGTTGGTGGCATAAATACCCTGTCACTGTGGAGTAGAGGCAAACGAGGAGGTTATAGATAGAGACGCCAATTAATGTAGGAAGAAGGAGACGGAAAACAAGAAAATCACACAGAACCTGGTGAATATAATCATAGATGAAAATGTTGTCAAATTCAGCATGACAGATGCATAGAGTTACACAGTGTACAGTGTACACACCGTTCCGATTAGCAAAAAAAAAAGAGAAAATCGACAAAAAACAAGGACAAATCTCAGCAGATGTCGATTCGGTCATCATATGTCTTTTAAAAGCTATCAGGCGGACGAAGGTGGATGTTGACTGTGTGGAAAGAGAGTCGAAACAGTACTACAGTCATGGCCGGAGTGCCAAACGCTGAAGATGGAGAAACACACATATGGTCTATGGGAGAGATTGGCAGAACTCACGGAAAGGCCAATGGAAGCGGTAAAAATGATAGAAGCAATACTTGGAAGGCTAGATAGCTTATGAGCAACTACTACTACTACTACAACAATGGCAACAACAATAATAATAATAGTAGTAATAATAATAATAATAAAACTATTATAATAAATGTCATTGTTCATCATCCTTATGACTATCATCATCTTTTTTATTCATTGGTGTTCATCATAGTCTTCATCATTACTATCATTTTTCACCATAATAATCAGCATGTTAGTTACATGAGTTATCGTTGTTCATCATAATCATAATGGTCATCATCATCATAATCATCATTCCCGCCATTAAATTATACATCATTCACTCATGCGATAAACGCCTGGAGACTAACGCGATGTTTACTGTGTTTGTTCTTTCTGCCTAGTCCCTCTATTCTTCTTCTCTTCATTTCTTTTCCTCTTCTCTTTTTTATTTGTTTTTTTTTTGTTTTTTTTTCTTCACTTTTTACAGTTTTTAAAAATTAAAATTGCACATAATAATGAATTTAACTGTATCAATCGATGTGATGTTATCGAACAACAAAACATAATTAAAAAGAAAAAATACATTTTGAAATTAAAAAAAAATCATATACTTAGAAGCTTGCTTATAAAAAATATTTGAATGATTAACTCGAAATTAAATATTTTTTGTTTGTGACAAAAAATGTGAAATTAATGTATTGATCGATAAGCAATTAATGTGTGTGATACACTTTTTTAATTCAAACATTTCATTATGAGAGCATACGTGAAATAATCAACCGTTGTTCAATGTTCATTGATGTTTTAGTTTTGCGGCACAAAAAAAGATTAAAAAATAATTTTCTAAGATAAAAAATCAAGCACACTATAATACAAAAAAAGTGAAAAAACATTTGAGCAGACAAATAAAGGAGAATATAAATGATCATACACTAGACGCAAATGGTTGAACAAGATAAAGGAGCAGTTGTATGTTGATGCAGGCTAATAAACTAGTCACGCACCCCAACACACACACACACACACACACACACACACATGCATATGTATGTGTTTATATAGCAAACACACACACTTTTACATATTCTCACACACACACACACACACACGCATACATTATATATTATACATTAGTAAAATTTGTGATAACATCTTTAAAAAATGCGCTGTTGAATTCGATTGCTGTTTTCACATTGTCAATTTTCTTAAATTTTGTATCTTTCTAACTAATTTTTTATCATTAAAACTCAGTTATGATAATAAAAAGCGGTGATTCATTTTTAAAAATATTTCAAAAAAATTTCCTGGTAAAACTCTTTCCGTGTTCATCACTGTCTTTGCCAAGAAAAAACGTGAAATAAGAAGACGAAGTTTAAGGAACATGTTACATCCCATATTCTGGAAGGCATTGGAAACCGTGTTCAACAATCTTTTGTAGTTTCTATACTTATTATTTCACATGAAATTAGTAATAAAAGATTTGAGCTCTATCCATGCCTCAACAATTTTTTCATTTAGTCGATTTTTAAAATGCTTATCACGTATTACTTTTTGAATTTAAGACCAGACAAACACGTCTTCTTTTATTTGATCATCACTGATTTGCTTAACATGGAAGCCTAGATGTGTAAATGCATCACTCATTTTATCTAAAGCTTTTACAAAATTTTTCACTAGACTCAACTTCATTTGTAAGAGTGGTATATGATGTCTTTTTGAGAACCAATGACTCATACAAAACATTTTTTGACCAGGTTCTAAGCAACACCTAATGGGCTTAGCTTATTTTTGATAGTGTGTGCCTCTCTATCCCAATTATTCCATTCGGCGAAGAAACCGCAAAACTTTGTGTTATCGACTTGTGCACCCATGAGAAATGCTGTTTCTTCATGTCAACCCAAAGTCTCCGTTTTTAATCATTTTATTTCATTTTTATTGAAACTCGACTTTAATATAGGTTTATTTTACACGTGTCTGTGTAATAAGCTACTAAATTATCTTAAGCTCGTTTTTCATACATCGATGAGAAGACGCCAGTTCTTGATTTCACGTTCATGACCGAGACCACTAAGTTGAAAATAAAATGGTGACTGCGCATTTTGTAGCATAAGATGATTGCATATCGCAAGACAGATATGTTTCCTAAGAAACGTGAGATTGAATTATTATTTTTAGAATATAAATAAACTTTTTTAATTTTTAACACTCCGGAGTCAAATACAAAAAATCTTCCAGAAGTTCCAACTCCGGCAAAAACTGTCAACTTCGACCGACTGGTCATGACTCAGTGGTGTCATGTGACTCAATAGCATCACGTGACTTTATGATATCATGTATTTCCATAATTTTATGTGTATATCAAATATCTATTTAATTAAATTTCAAAATTAACTTTCAATTCTCAACTGTATATAATTCAATACTATAACTGCCTATGTTTCTGATGTAAAATATTTAGTAGAAGCAATTATCGTTCTGCTGCATATATATGTATGCATTTGTGCGCGTAGGTTCATGTGTGTGTTTGTTTGCTGTTGCACGTCACATGGGTTTAAATGTTTATGCGTTTGCATGAACGAAGTATATCATTTAAATGTTTTGTATTATCATACATCAGTATATGTCAATAAATTAGTTTCCACCATTGACTAACAAAACAATAACCACGGTGCACATTGAACCTACAAACTGATGTTGTTATTGAAAATGGGCGACTTTATGTAATACATTATTTTATATCAACAAATATTTGCGTACACACAAACATAGACACATTCAGACAACAAACCTGGAGTCACTGCACGCAATTGCATTGGCATGCAGAGATTTAGCTAGATCAAAGGAAACGCTAGCTGTGTCTGTTTCAATGTTTGTATGTTTGTTCATATGCTGTATGTATGCGTGTGTTTGTTTCTGCTTGTATTTTTTGTGATTATTTATTTGAGTGTATTTGTACAATATTTGAACATTTTTTTCTTGTGTGCTTGTGCACTGATATATTATATACTGTACATAATATTGTATATGTATATACATAAATTATATATATATATATATATACATATAGTAAAAGTAAGAGTTGAGATGTTTTATAAATGTAAAGATAATGCAAAAGAGCACAAAAATTCAGTTCAGTATTTTCAAAATAATTTTTTTCAACTTTCTGCGGATTGATTTTTTTAGGCGATGCTTTTGTGGCCGTTGGAATTTTGTTTGATCACATGACTTGATGATGTTTTGTGTTCTTTATGTTTACTTAAGTTAGTTTTGTTTTTTGACCATTTTATTTGTTGATGACTTGTTGTTATTAACACATGACTTGTTGTTTGTGTTGTTGTTGGCTAATAGTTTCATGAATGGTTGGTACTGTTTATTATTTACATGATCTGTTGTTGTTGGTGCTGTTGTCTGGTCACGGGGTTTATTGTTGCTGGCGTGTTGTTTGGTCGTTAGGGCCAGTGTTCTTCGGTCACATGACTTGTTGTTTGGTCAAATGGCTTGATGTACCACAGAACTTTTGATATGGTCTATTGGGGCTGTTGTTTAAACCATAGATGTCTCGACGCTAATATCTAGATATTAGCGTCGAGACATCTACGGTTTCAATCCTTTGTAGTTTAAAAACCTTTTACTTCAAATGTTAATAACTTAATTTTATTACCTTAATCCTACTAACATTATTGAAATGAATAAACAATTTCACAAAAACACATTTTAGTCGATAGAGACACACTGTTATTTTGCCGAATAGGTGTAAATGGGGCGTTGGCCTGCGTTACTATGTACGTGAGTATATAGGAATGAAAATTTGTTGACTTGCTACTAAAAGTAGGACGGCCATCAAGTACATATTGTGCTTTATCTTTCAAAACCACCAAAGAGGCAATATTGTGAACACATAACTCGTTCTAGGCTAGACGCGTTTAATCTTTTATTAGACTCATCAGTAGTCCAACTCAATGCATTTACTATATCAGTAGATAATAACGTAAACTAATGTCACCAAAGTTAAATCACCAATTTGTGCCTTTTGTCTTGTTCCCCCTATATACTCACGCAGTTGCGAGTGCAAATCAACAAATCAAATTAAAAAAATGAACACACCGCACCATTTATATATATATATATATATATATATATATATACAATTATTTATAAAGATCACTACGTTTTCGGCATTATTCAACTTATAGTTGAGTTTCTCAATTTTTCTAACGAGACTTTTATCATCTTAATAAAATTTATTAAGATTAAATAAAAAACTTTTAATATTTGACGTTTTTGACAAAACATTATTAATAACGTTATTACTACAGAAAAGCTCTTTTCGGCATCAACTGCCATCATCAGTGTAGTTATATAGTATTGTTCCGTCTTTGTGTCTTTTTTTCACAGCGACTTTGATTGTAACTTAATTAGAATTAAAGTTAATTATGTGTTTCTTTGTTGGAAGAATATTAATATTATTTAGTTGAATATTTATTGCTGGTTTACGTTTATCGATGAAAATTGGTTCTGCTATCTTCAATTTGAAGTATTCTCTGTTGTAATAAATTGCTTTGATGTTATTGTCTAAAATTTTCCTTGTTATAATAGTGTTATGTTGTTCCATTAGGTGATTCTTTATTGTTCTATGTTTCGTCAAAAATGTCAAATATTAAAAGTTTTTTATTTAACCTTAATAAACTTCATCAAGATGATAAGTCTCGTTAGAAGAATTGAGAAACTCAACTACAAGTTTAATAATCCCAAAAACGCAGTGATCATGAAATTTGAATATTTTATTTCAAATCATGTAAAATTATCAAAAAACTAATTTTTAACTTAACACACATACATACATTACATAAATTTATAAAGAACGAGAAAGAGAATAAACAAAGTAAGAACGTGTATACAATATTTTAGTTAGTTTTTGTAATTATCTTTGGAACCATAATTTAAGTATTCTATGTTTTTCTACGCTAATGTGAGCAACAAAATAGGATAAAAAAATGTATAAATTAACTAGGAATAAATAAACATTAGAAAGATGTAAGCAGAATGAATGCACATGAAAGCAGGTTCGTATAATTTCATCAAAGAAACTCAAAATGACGGAAGTGTTGGTGTGGGCTTTGAAGTTGAGTAAACAAAATGCCGAGTGCATTAATCCAATTTTGCTCTGAAAGAAACATAAAAATTTGATTATGTTAGTTTAAATTATTGCAAAATTTTTAAAAATCTAATTTTTTAAATCAAATATTTTTATTTTGTCAATTTTAGACCACACAATCTTTGCTTTGAAGTTGTTTTAATCGTGGCATAATAAAATAATTTTCTGTATACGAATAGGAGAAACAAAAACTACCTTTAGTGAAGTAAAGACTTTTGGTAACAGATTTTTAATTAATCTATTGCATTTATAACAAAACTGAATTTTTAAAAATTGATGATAATCCTTTTAAAATATCGTTAACTAAATAACTTTATCATCATCCTACTGTTTGTATTAGATTTTTTTCCAAGTTCCCCTGCTATGAATAGTTGTTGAAGTCAATAGATATTAGTATTACGTGATAATGAACATGGTTATATCATAAAGATTACAGCCCATAGACATAAAACTCTACAATCAAACCACTAAACTAGCACACACAAACACAGAAGCATACAAAAAACAGCATTATAAAGCAATACTCAACCCAAACTATAAATAGTTGGCATAAATTGTCAACATAACAACATGCTTTAAACAACAAACAAAATATTTTAAAAGAACCTGCAAAAAACAAGCAGAATGCATGCGTACACACATAACAAGAGCAACGTAGAACAATAGCTGCAAACACATCAACATACAGTACGTACAACAATTGCAACATTCAACTTTCTATATCAACATGCAAGAACAGCAAAAAAATATCAACATACACAAACAGGCGACAACTTTGACATAAACAACAACATATATCAACATACATCAGCATATAACAACAAATTAAAATAACACCAACATGCAACAAAATACATCAAGATGAATGAGGTACCAAAATAGCAACATACAACAAAAACTTACAACAATTGCAACATTTATCAGCGTGCTACATTATATTAGCAGCAGCATGATACAAAACACTGATAAGCAAAATACATCAATACAACAATAGCACTATGCATCAACATACAACAGCAACAACATACATAAATGACATACAACGGCAGCAAAGAGCAACAGTAACATGCAACAACAACAGCAGCAACATACATCATCATAGAAGACACCACCTGACACGTCAGGATGAGCTGATTGGTTGGCTGATGCAAGTTCAATTGCGTCATTTCAGTTCGTTTGATGTTCGTTTCCGTTGCTCTGGTTTTCTTTTTAAAAAGAACTTGTTGCAAAAAATTGAACCCACTGACAGAATTTTAAAATTAAACATGAAAGATAAATATATATATATATATATATATATGCATACATATATGTACATATATATACATACATAGTTATATATACATGTATACATGTATATATAACTTACGCCAAACATGCTCTGATTTTCATCAATAATTGCTTTTCTGGCAGTCTTAATCCAATATATATATATATATATATATATATATATATATATATATATATATATATATATATATATATATATATATATATATATATATTTCTATAACAAATTTTCTTTTAAGCATATTTCATTAAACGCGATGCTTATATATATATATATATTTATTTATTTACT